TGGTAGCTTAATTTTTCTCCAGTGGCAATGCTGATTTTAAAAAAAAAAAAAAAAAATAAATAAAATATCCTCTACCTTCCGCTGTGTCAGTGCCATTCTGAAGGCCTGAACTGAAAATGGATTTAGAAACCTCACTTTTTTTTTTTTTTTTGCTAATGTGGAACATTATGCACACAGGTGTATGGGTGTCAGTCAGGGGTGAGAGGCAGAAGGTGGGATATTTCACCTTCTCCTGCAACAAATACACTTTCAATAGTGCAAATTGAAAGCGATTATTTTTGAGTGGGAATTCTTGTGGCAGGAGCTGAAGCTTTATGCCAAAGATGGGATTTCTGGCCCTTACCTCAGTTTGGGAGCTGCATGGCCTCCAAAATTAAATAATTCTTAACAGTAGTGGGAAGTGAGAAGACATTAGCATGGTGGGCTTGATTCTATCAGCAGGACACCGCTGGCTCAGAAGCGGTGGTATCGATTGCCTCTCGATGATCTTAGTGTATCAATGTCACCTTGATGACACCGAGCAAGTGAAGAGTGAGGACCACTGCTCTCAAATGACTGCACAAAGCTGTCATCCAAAGTGTATTCCATCAGAAAGCCGTTCCAAATGTGATCAACTGCAATTATTAAGCTAAAGCTTCTCCCGCTTGTGTCTGATGAAGGGTCGCCTGATGGCGCCTGTGCGCGGCTTTATGGTGCTGCTGGATTGTGCTGCGAGGACCAGAGTGGTGTCAGAAATCCAACATGTGAGCTTGAAATAGCTCTAAAAAATGGTTGGAATGATACTATGTAGGGGGGGGAAAAAAGTCCTAACTTGATCTCAGTCTCTTAACCCTTTCTCCCCTCCAGCCTCCTCCCCATAAGCTTTCCGATGATGTGCTCTTGCAAACCCCTTCTGCAGGATTCACACCATCCCCTGGTAGTTTTGCCTTTGCTTTTTTGGTCAAAAAAAAAAATCTCATAAGAGGTTCCTGCCCTTTCCAACAGCCCCTGCTCTTGCCCATACACCGATGGAAGTTCTTGTGTGATGAAACAGGTGAATTAAATTGGTAGTTCACCTTTTTTTTCATATTACAGTTCATTAATGAAGTTTCCTTCGGTGCAGCCCTGCTGATGGAAGGGGAGCGTAGGAACCTCAGACCAGCCTTGCTGGTGCAGGAAACGTGGCGATGGGCGATGTTTGCGTGGGGTGCGTTCACGAAAGCCCTTGTGACAGGAGAGGGAGGGGGGATGCTGCTGCGCTGGAGGAACAGGAGGAGCAGATACTTCACTTGGTATTTTGTACTTTGGAGAGGAAAAAAAAACCCACACCAAAACAAAACCCCAATTCTGCTGCGTTTTGCTTCCCAATAAAAAACATTAATTAAAGCCTTGTTGGAGTTTTCTTGTGGGGAGCTGGGTGGGCACGGTGCTGTCGGGCTGGCACTGCTCGGTGGGGTTATCACCTCCCTGGCACCTGAGTTTTGTTTTTTTCCTCCTCCTCCTGATTAGATTAATTAAATCACCGGTGACGGAGGGCGACCGGCTGTTACCCGCGCTGTCCGCCCTGAGGCTGGCGCTGCTGGAACGGAGCAATAACCCACCTCAGCCTTTCCGGAGTGCTGCGTTCTCCCCCAGCACCCGCTTTGCACTGGCGCTTTCGGGTTCCGGGTAAAACCTCGAGGGGTTTTGGTTTTTTTTGGGGTTTTTTTTGGCGCCTTTTTGGTTCCCGCCATCTCCCCGGCCACGTGGCTGCCGCCCGGCGCGCGGGAGTGACGTCACGACGCAGCGCCGCCCGAAGGTCACACGCCGGGCTGGGAAGATGG